TATACTATAAATTATAAAGAAATAAAAAGTGTCCAGTGGGATGTCTCTTAATCCTCCTGATATGCCAAAATGGGTGGGGTGGGAGGGGGCTTATTTCTTGCAAATCAGGAGACTTGTACAGCGTGGTGCCCTAGAAAGAACATGAATGCTGGAGGCAGATACAGCTGGGTTTAAATCCAACCTCTACTACATCCCACCTGAATGATTTAGGGTGGGCCACTTAATCTCCTTGAGCCTTCTCTATCCATCTGCAGCATAATAAAGTATAGTCCTTACTTCACAGGATGCTGTGAGGACAAAGTGAGATCATGCACATTAAAAAAAATTATCACAATGCCTGATACAGTTGTCCTTATAATTAGGAACATAAGAATGCAGTGCCCACTGGGGCTTCTCCTTAGGATATCTGGCAAATTAGTGCAGGAACTGGGATTACTAACCCTAACCCCAGGAAAGCAGTGCCATCCAGTGAAGATGTAGGTCCCCACATCTTTGGGCATGAGGACCCCTCTCTAATGTTAAAATTCCAAGAGGAAATTCCCTCCTCTCTGCCTATTGCGTGCATAGCCTGACCGAGTCAGGACCTTCAGTTGTTCAGATCTGGGAATTGTGAAATTTGGGAGCCGAAAGGAACTTTTAATGTCATTGAGCAGAGAGGACTCAGTTTATAGTTGAGGAATCCGAGGCTCAGAAAAGGGAAGGCTGTGGCCAAAATCATACAGCAAACTAGACACCAAGACGGCCAGAACCTATGCCCCCTACCTGCCAGTTCTGAGCCCTCCCCTCTATGCCATGCTCTGTCTCTGGGTCTTCAATGTTCTTTCCTCTTCCTCTTCTTGTGTCCCCTCCTTTTCTAAGCCACCCTTTGAGAGCTTGGGTTTTATGGCTTCTTGGTCTGAATTTCCTTAATTTGAGATCATGCCAACATTCCTTCCTTCCTTCATGCAGGGCTTTATTCATCCATTATTGACCAATTGCTCTTTGGTGCCAGTGTTAAGTCTAGACCTTGAGCATACAGCTGGTTATCAGAGGGTCCCAGTCCCCAAACGTAGAAAGATGTGGGGGGGCCAGCTCCTCAGCGTTGCTTTAGAATATCTAGCATTTTTGTTTGGGGTTCAGAGATCCTACAGGCATCAGAGGGATTTTAAATCAACCCAATGGTATATTTACATTGCCTGATCTGCCTTTTAGATCTAGTTTAGTAACAATTATTTATCTACCTAGCCAGCTTGAAATTCACATTTCCCTCTAGTACACAGGGAAGGAAACACCATGAAAGGCTCATGTTTGGTTAATCAAGGAGGAAACAGGCATACACAGACCTAAGAGATTGAGCGGTCTCACGTTAGCCCCTGGGTTCATGAATTTTCTGAAGCAGGGTTTCCTGCCCTTTCAGCCTTACAAACTGCTGAAGAAGGATGGAATGTGAAGACTTATTCGAGTCAAAACAGTATAAAATCAAAGCTCTTAGCACATTCCATTCTTTCTAGAAAGCAGATACTTTAGTATATTTAATCACCCACTGCCATCTTCTTTCTAAACTGACACATATTTCCTTTTCATGTTAGTTCGGTTGTTAAAGAGACAGATAAAACTGATAGTTTTTTTTTTTTCCTTAAAAATTTATTCCCTTTCCTGCAAGTTGGTGCAGCCACTCTGGAAAACAGTATGGAGCTTCCTCAAAAAGTTGAAAATAGAGCTACCATACGGTCCAGCAATTGCACTACTGGGTATTTACCCCAAAGATACAAATGTAGGGATCCAAAGGGGTAC